CCAAATATTTCTGGCAGTCAATGGAACCCATTCCAGAGAAAATGATTGATCATGATTAACTTCTTATTCATATAAAAATATTCTAGTATTAAATGCTAAAATACTTTCCTTTTATTCAATAAACCCAAGGCAAAAATATGTGATTTGGAAACATTTTCACTAATCCTTGCTTTTATAAAGAATTATTTTTATTGCCCTTGTCTACTTGGTTAGAAGTATCATTTCTAGATATTTCTATAGAACTTTGTTCAACGATAAGAAACTGGACTTAAATACGGTTCTTGTTGCTGTTGCCAATTGCTTTTCAGATTTTTTTTTTGTCCAGTAGTTAGAGTTAGTGTTCCATAAAACTTGAAAATGACCACAATTAATAAACCTACCATCTCCAGGATGTACTTTACGGACTGGAGAATGAGCTGAAAATTGAAACACCCCTTTTTAAATCAATGTAAAATTTTCTAAGGCTATCATGGAAAAATCAGAGTCATTATAAACTCTTTTAGGTAATTTCCAGCTTCTGAAAACATAAGAATTCCCAAAGGTTATATGGAGGACACATCACATATGATGATTGGGTACTATAGGTATGGACTAAACGGAAAATTTGTTTTCTTTTTATTTAATATTATTTTCTACATCTGACAAGTCTATGGGGGGACTATTTTTATTGTGGGCTCTTTCCTGGCTCATGTTGCTACATAAGGAAATAAAGAGCCAACTGACTCAGGTGCAATGCACTCACAAAGATCCTGTCTGTTGCACTTAAATTGTGTTTGACAGTTAGGAACACTGTTAGTCATTTTGAGAAGAAGGTTTGAATAATTCTGCCATTTGGATAATGTTTGAAAACATCTATCTTGGTGCTAAAATGATTTTGGAGCATATAGGGGAAGCATTTAGATGGAACTTAATGGGCATTCATTGCTAATATTTTTGTTTGCTTGCTTATTTTTTTTTAGCAAGCATATTCTTTTGGATAATTTTAGATATTCAGAACAGTTACACCTATTGACATTACTCTAAACCAGAAAAAAATTAGTAAGATAATATTGTTACTGTTATTATCATCATGCTTTATATTTCCAGGAATATGTCTTAGGAAGTGAGGCATAGCCAACTAAGTTTTCCATGTGGATGAAAGCAGCCTGATTTCAGAGTCACACTTCATTCTTGACAGTCCATTGGAAAAGAAAAACACACACGGTGGCCAGTTATCTTAAGACAACTTTTAAGTGTAATTCAACCCTTTTAGTTCATTCATAAATTATGCTTTTCCATTTCCATTTTATATGTATTGATTACAGTCTCCGAGAGTCAAATGTTCATAGGCTCCATTAGAGATAATGAAGAGAACAGTTAAATTTAAAACTTAAAAACTACTATAACATTGGTGGTTGATGGGGCCGTAAAGTAGCTCATGCAAGAAGGATTTGGAAACAGATGGTTCGTATTGGAGGTTCTTTAGAAAGCAGAGGGCAAGCAGTCAGATACAAGAGAAAGGAAGGTGTTTGGGGGTTGTTTTCCATATGGACAGTGGAAGCTTAGCCATGCACAGCCACTTCAGAAGTATCCCACCAGAAGATGAGGAAATTTCCCACTGGGTTTCTTCTTTCTCTATGTGATTGCTTTGCCCAGGTGTCTTAACTCCCTTGAAATTCTGGGCTACCTGTGTTCATACCGAAGGCTTCGCAGAGCTTTGAACCAGGTGCTGGCCAGCGAGGCTCTCACCTCACTTTTCTCAACAGGAAGGAACTGCAGGGTGTGTGAACCTGTCTACCATAGCTGTGACGGAATCACAGAATCACAATGCCCTCAGGGCATAAGGCAGCGCCAGATGCTGCCATGACCAACAAGTACTTATTCACGACGATGTGATAAATATCACCTTTTACAACAATAGCAGAAAGGACATTGTGAGAAAGGAATGGGGCAGGCAAATGGCTTTCATCAGAGGACGTACAATTAAATTGTGAAGCTGCAGTTATTTTAAAGTTACTGCAATGACCGGATGTTGTTTGAATCTGAGGAGTTTTAAGACTTCTTGGTGTCTGTGGGGGATCTGCCCGGTAGCTAGGATGTGTCATATGCCATGTTTCATCTTCATTGCAGTCTCTTCTTTAATAAACCCATCCATTCTCACCCACTAGCAAAAGCTTCTCGAAGGGTCAGTGGGCTGTGTCCCAGGTACTGAGAAAATTACCGCCCTTGGCTGACCTTGGAGAGCGAGTGTGCTTTCATTAGTTTTTATTGCTATTTTCAGAAGGTTTAGAAGAGAGAGATACATATCGTGGTGAAATCTCATGAAGCTAATTATCTTAGATAGTTGAAAACTTAAAAAAAATTTAAGGTGTTATGCATCACTGTATAAGAAAGTATCATTCAATGGTGAATAGTATTAGTGATTCATAATCTTGAAGAAACTAAATGAATCTTCTCTTGCTCTCTGTAAATTACAAGGCTTCAAGTACACACACACACACACACACACACACACACACACACACATAATTAAACCTCTGTGTACAGCTGTGAAAGAACTGGGTCATCCAGACAAAGTTGAGATTTGCTTGAGCATGAATTACCTCTCATATGCCAAAGCACATTTTATCTGTTTGCTAGTGGAGTGTTCTAAGTGTTGGTCAAACCTGTTTCTCCAGTTACAGCATACAGCACTGTCTAAGACTTTTTGGAATTGAATGAAAACCAGTGTAATCTTTTTTACATGCAAGTATTTGAGTATACTTTGCCATTGGTGAAAAGGCGACAATAAGAAATATTTGAAGCAACTACTCCAAACAGGTTCCCAAATTTCAACTATTTGTTAATAGCTGTAATTTTCTCCTCATCCAATATTAAGATTAAATGAGCTCATTAACATCAGTGTAATCATGGATAGCATGAGTTAGTCATTGTTGAATCAATACACACTAAATTTCTTACTAAAATCGAAAAGCATGTACTTGTGCATTTATGTCCATTTATCTGGAAAAACAGTCGGTGGCACATGCCAGATAACAGTGTATCAATATGAAATGCTTGGGGTGGTGTGGGAGAATTGTCTGTATTCTGTCAATCATGTATTTTAATAAAACGCTGATTGGTCAGGCAGGAAGTATAGGTGGGTCAGCCAGACAGGAAGAGGAGGCAGAGCAATGAGAATAGGAAAAGGCTAGGGAGGAGGAAACTTCCTCAGCCACTCCTGCGCAGACCACCGAAGAGGCAGCATGTAAGCTGACAGCTGAAAAAGGTACCAAGCCATATGGCTAACGTAGATAAGGATAATGGGGTAATATGTGTCATAAGAACTAATAAGTAGCCTGACCTAATGGGCCAATCAGCTTTATAATCTTATGGAGTCCTGTGTGTGATTTTTTTGGGTTTGCCGGCTGTGGGGTACTGGGCGGGACAGAAACCCCAACAAGCAGGCCCCTACATGTTACATTGGGGCAAATGTTCTAGAGTCAAGCTATATCCAAAAAGGATGATTTCAAAGAAAAGAAACCAAAGGACATGGATCTTTCAATTTGATGCTTTATTGCTTGGCATACACATACAGAAACAGATAGTTTCCCACTGTAGAGAAGACACAAAATACAGAACATTCTCAAAGAAGAATCTGTGCCCACATGGACACAATAGTTAAATTCCAAGCAATGAGATGAGTCGGCACACAGCTCTCTACAACTGATAAAAGGAAACCAAAGTCTTCCGAGGCACATTGTAAGAAAGCAAAGCATTCAGCTACACAGTGTAAGCAACATGCAAGTCAGCAGGTCGAGGGACTATAAAACTATGCACTGCTTCTCAGTTTCACATTTCATATGGATTCTTAGGTCCACAAAGGGCCTGTGAGCTAGCATTGACCTCTATATATAGCATAACTGGATAATTTCATGGCTGTTAGGAACCTCTGAATCATATATACATAAATAAATATTTCTCCGTAGATGATGACAATATGTATAGAAAAGATATGCACATATACAATGTAGTTTTTACTTGGAAAATTGTGTCTTTAAGAATACTTTCAGAATTGTAACACAGAGAAGACAAATAGTATACTATATTTTCTGTAGTTTGCAAATGAAATCCACAAAGTTTAGAAAACACACAATAGCTTACTTATATACACATATATCTATGGTGTCTGGGTGACTATTTCCTCATCCAATATAAACATCAGGAAGTCCTTTATTTCTCTTCCTTTCCTTTCTGCTAGTGGATTACCTTAACTAAGTCCTGATGATCATACCACACTGGAAACAGCCTTAATAACCAGAGTTGATTCTTTTTAACCTGCACTTATTCATTTTCTTTCTCATGTATGTATTGTCTTTTCTTGACTATCTAAACCAAGTCTATCTTTAAAAGAAATCCAATCTTCTTTATAAAATCTTTCACATGACTCTAGGACTCGCTGATAGTCTATTCCCCTAGAGGAAATCTAATGTTTGCAGTATGAAATCATATAGCTTGTCTTTCTATTATGTACTCTGCACATTTTATTCATTTTATTCACATTTTAGTGATAATTTGTTATCACTCTCTGAACAAACAGACAATGTAGTAATCTTGATCATTACTAAATTAGGTGACAGATGTGAGGATGCTATTGAAGTTTGAGCTCGTGGTGTATACACAAGGTCGAGCTTATGCTGTATACCCAAGGTCACACTCCTGGTGTATACACAAGGTCACACTCCTGGTGTATACACAAGGTCACACTCCTGGTGTTTACACAAGAGGTGGTTGTCATCATCACCTGGCACAACTATAGTACATTTTAATGAGCCAAGAGAATGAATGGTTTAAGACAATAAAAACAATCAATAAAGAAGTTACATAATTGTAAAGATAAATCTACAGGAAAATCAGGCATCATAAAGAAGATTTTAGGTTATTTTTTTGTTTTGTTTTTTTTGGGGGGTGGTGGTGGTGGTGATTTCAAAACAGAGATTCTCTGTAGCTTTTTGGAGCCTGTCCTGGACTCACTCTATAGATCAGGCTGGCCTCAAACTCACAGAGATCTACTTGTCCCCACCTCCCAAGTGCTGGAGTTAATGGAGTGTTTCACCACAGCCCATCCAGGTTATATTTTTTTGACTGGAGATTCACAGATTTACTTATCAGAAAGTCAATGTCAAAGTCATGGTCTGACTTTAATTTGTAGGCTGTGAAGATGAAATGAATTTGTCCTAATGACATTTTCTGTTTATTTACTTATTCAGAATTATTCAATATTCAAGATTCTTGAAGGGTACATGTGGAGTCTCAAAACAAAGTGACTTTCAGGCTGTGCTCAGAGTCCTCAGTAAATGATAATTTCTTGAGACAGAGATAGACAAAGCACATATTAAGATAAACTCTCCAGTCAATTTTATGTATATCAAAACAGGAGTGGCTTGTACTCATAGGGATTAAATATTTGATTTCTTACTGTTCCATCCAGTACCACGTCAGTATCATGATGCCCTTACTGACTTCTGGATGAAGACCTCTGGTCAGTTGGAGCAAACTTATTCTGAGTCGTACTGTACTTGTTTCTTTTCTGGAAAGATTTCACCTTTATTAATACTGGTCCAATATGTTCGTGAGGAAGTTCATATTTCCTCCTGTTTGTCAGTCAAAGAATATGCGCATGAATGGGATCCATTTTTCTGTAAAGAAAGAAAGAGTCACTTAAACACTTGCAGGAATGCTGACTAACACTACTGGTTAACACTACTGGTTACCAGCCTCTTAGTATAACTTTCAATACCCGTTATTTCATTTCCTGCTGAAATAACAGAAAGGAGAGTCTATAGTATGGACCTCTATCAATACTTGAAGTCATCATTATGGGACTATGTAGTTTATTGGTCACTAAATTCTTTTCTTGTCTTGCTACATCCAGGTTTGATAGTTTTGGACAATGTACTAACTTAGCGTTGCTTGTCCCAGCCTTTTCCAGTGTTTCTGCACAGAATTCTTAAAATATGAAAAAAACCATATTCTATTTGGTTAGCATATATGTGCTTTGTAGAAAAGAAGGCAGATTACATCTTGTTTGGTCTGATAATATTGAGTACAAACATCCATGATCACTCTTGTCAAAGGATATTATTTGGGTATTGAATTAAGAATGATACGGATTAAACTTGCCAGTCAATGCAGTCTATTTGCTGTTGAAAAATCTTAGTACTAAACTGTATCCCAGTTCACAACTCTCCTAAATGACATCAAATGCTGAATGACTTAAGATCATAATCATGAAATTATATACAAGGAAAACCTTCCAGTGTCCTTTATGGTCTTCTTTATTTTGTGGAAAGTAAAAATAAGAGTGAAAATAGTTATTTCTAATTATAGTCCATTAAAATAGAGTATGTAAATAATCCTTCTATCAAGTCATCTTAGGTATTAGCAGGAGGAATATTAAAGACTGGTTAGGCTATAGGTCCTATGATTCTAATCTGCATTCTAAATACTGCCTAAGAATTGCTACCTTAGGTTATATCACACAGAACTGCCTTCTTTCATTTTGGGGTAAGTTTTGTAAGAATAGAAAGACTCATTTGTCTCTTATAAAATTTTATCAATGGTTTTTAGATATATTTAATGTTCTTTTTCAGGTTTCTGACTGAAGTTTGTGAAATGTCAACTCTCTATTAATATCATATCATATCATATCTCTAAACATATCAATTCCACATTATTTCTACTATACAAATCATGGCAAACCTAAATAGAAATTGTGGAAGCAACAGACCAGTTTTTCATTAATTAATACTTTTATAAAAATTAGAATTTGCATACTATTTTCCTATACTTAGTATTTTCAACAGAACTTTTGTACATTTACTTAGGATGCGTCAGGTTCACATTTGCTCTTTGAGGAATTTAGCAGCCTTTTCCTGCTGTGTGTGAAGTGGTACTTCTGGAAGGATGAGAGAGTGAAAGGAGGGAACAGGGAGACAGCTATCAATAGAGTGTTTTTTTTTGTGTGTGTGTGTTTGCTAGTGTAACTCTTTATGTTTGTTCAGTACAGTGTTTGTTTTTGTATATCTTTATTCATTACCAGCTGAAGAAATTTAAATTAAATTGTTTCTGGGGCTCAAGTTTGTGTCCTTGTCGCCAGAAAGGTTCTAAATATTTGAAATGTTTCTTCAGCTTGGGGTTTCCTAGTCCTCTTGCAATCCCATATGCTTTTTTGAATTCACATGCAACACCCCATTTCCTCTAGGAGTTGAATCGAAAGGAAAATAATACGGAATATGTTGTTTGTAAAATTAATAAAACTATGGGTTAATAATTCAAATTATTGTCCTCTTAAAAGTTAATTCTTCCAACTTATCATTTGTAGATTAGAATGAGATCACCAGTGGTTCCACATTTTTAAAGAAGAGTCCAGAACAGTGTAGCTCTTGTTTTGCTAAGACATACACCCTCCATGAAACAGCTCCACTAGTGACTTAAAACCTGGTTAGATTCTGCATTCCTTTACATGGCTTTATGAAGCCGTTCACACAAACCATTCATTCCTTAGGGTAGGTTGTCAAGGTGTACCCATAATTCTGTGCATTTCACCTACTTAGAAATGTTTATGGGATTTGAATCTTTCCCATTTACCTTCAGCATGTAGACTACTTGTGATCTGTGCCAAATTTGAAACGTTTGCCCAAACAGAGAAAGAAACCCTAAGAGGGAATCCTTATTCGCTTTTGGGGTTTATCCACCTTTGCCCACTTCCCTCAGGTGTGCACTCTCCCCAGGTCCCTCAGCAATTAACAGTATTAGAAGTAATATTACAACTCTAATAAGATGATTTCTCTACACCAGCACGTCTTACTTTAGTCCTTTAGTTTCCTCTTGATGAAATATAGTTTTGATTATCTATGGAGACACTTCATGAGTTAATGCAGCATGATATTGAATACTTTAGAAAGTTATACCTCCTTGGTATAAAGTCAGCTATCTGTTGGACATTACACAGAAACATTTACTTTTATAATGGCATTTTCTTTGAAGGTGAAACACTGTTCAAAATTCTTTTGAATTTCTCATCTGAACTAAAACAAAGGCTAACAAACAACTTTTCAAAACTTAAAAGGGAAAAACTGAGGTTATATATTAAATGTTCTAAGGTCTGAAAAATGGATTTATGATGAGCATATTACATATATTATGTTAAACATGTTGTTTGCAATATCTTATATTGTTATCTTATATTGTGTGTATGTGTGTGGCCATTGGATCACAATAATTTAATTATCAACTTTACAAAAGGAAAAATAATTTTCTCTCTGTAGTTGTCACATGATGTTTTAAGACATGGTAATTGAGATAATGGTGTTTAAGAATCTACCAGTGTGTCCAATGGAGTACTACAGAGCAGAAAAAATAATGACATCTTGAATTTTGCAGCTAGAAAACATTATTTTGAGTGAAGTAACCCAGACACAGAAAGACAATTATCACATGTACTCACTCATATGTAGTTTTAAAACATAAAGCAAAGAAAACCAGCCTACAAACTACAATCCCAGAGAACATAGACAACAATGAGGACACTAAGAGAGACTTACACGAATCTAATCTACATGAGAAGTAGAAAGTAGTAAAAGACAAGATCTCCTGAGCATGGGAACCTTGGGGGAGAGTAGAAGGGATGAGGGGAGCAGAGAAAAATGTAGAGCTCAATAAAAAATCAATAAAAAAGACACACTGTATACATGGAATTATGAAATACATGAAATTATGAAACAAGAAATATAAGATTTTCATCAGAATACTTAAATCAATAATCATGAAGAATTGCAGACCCAATGATCCAATTCTCTGCTATGGGACAACAATGGTCTTCTACCCTATAAAGATCTGTCATGTGTGTTAGTTTAATAAATCCATGATTGGCCAGTAGCCAGGCAAGAAGTATAGGTGGGGTGACCAGAATAGGAGAATTCTGGGAAGAGGAAAGGTTGAGTCTGCAGTTGTCAGTCAGAAACAGAGGGAGCAAGATGAGAATGCCTCACTGATAAAGGTACCAAGCCACATGACTAACACAGACAAGAATTATCAGGAAATTTAGGATATAAGAGTTGGTTAATAAGAAGGCTGAGCTAATAGGCCAACCAGTTTATAATAATAAAAAAAGAGTCTACCAGTGTGTCGAACACATAGTAGATGTTTAATAATATTATTTCCTTTCCCTAATGTAGAAGGTTTAATATATTCTAATTCTCTTTTACATGTGGGTGTGTATTTTCTTGCACCTAAACATGTACTTATGTGATTTGAAGTTGAATCATTCTATTTCCCTATATATATTGTTCCAATAGTAATTAATCCAGAGTAGAAATTAAATGAAATAGATTGCGTAGTGTTATGGAGGTAAACTTCTGGTCCTTTCTGTAAATATTTGATTGTATCTTTTTACTGATAATGTGGAAGGAGAAAAATATCTTCCTGGACTAGATGAGGAAAATTTCATACAAACATACCCAGAATAGATCCTGAATGACAGGATCTCCATGAACCTAATATATTCTTCATTAAGCAGGTTTAAAGGGTTAAATATCATTATCAAATAAACTTCAAAGAAAAAACCATAAACTAAAGATATAAGCTGGAGAGAGGAAAGTGACAGTTTTATGCGACCCTTAAAAATATGTCTTTTAAGCCCAACTATTAAAAATTAATGACTATGAAGCTATCACCAAGACCAATTTATAGTCTTTAATATCTGACTGGCTTTATCCCAGTGGGTGAGTTATTTGAAGAGGATTAAAAATAATACCTGTAAGCCTCCTGGGTAGAGGCACATTCATACCTGTCTAATAATAACTAGAAGGCTAGGTCAAAGTTCAAACTGTAAAGATGAGCTAGCAATAATAGGCTGAAATCAGTTTAAAATAAACTCAGGAGGTTTGCAGTGTTTTAATTTAGAATCTGTAAACAAAGTATCCTAAGATTTGAAGTGAAGTAAGTCTGAAAAATGACAAGGGAGTGCAGTGAAAGACAATTGGAGGCAAGTTAGAGTCCAGCTCAGAGTCAGGTGTCTTCACCTTGAGACAAAATAGCCAGAATTTGACTGATTTCAAGCAACTGAACCTCAGAAACTGCTTCAGACTTTTAAGCATGGCCCAGCTGGAAGAATTTGCTTGACATAGCTCATTAGCTTTTGAACAAGAAGGTTCAAAGGGGATTTTGGCTTAAAAGGTTTTGAGAAAAAAGTAAAACCATGTTTTAACTATCCAGCCTGGCACTTGCTATATATTTAAATTTTATTGTATGTTAGGTGGGAGCTTCATAAAAGTTTAAACCGGGCATGCCTTTTTCCCACTCATTATTTCGGAAACCCAAGAGTTGACAAAAATTAGGTTTGCTTCAAATCAAATCCTCATGTTTATGATTTGGGGACATTTTGAGTTTCTAGTTCATTTTTAAAATAATGTGGTTCAGGCATTCATGAAACAGTATCGAACTTTGTTAAATGAAATGCTAAATTAAACCATTTAAAAATCACATTTTGTCAAATTGCAAAATGTGTAGAATTGGAGCATGTGTCTATGAAATCACATTTGATAAGGTTTTTGTCTAGATTTTATGGCAATGTCTTTACCCCAGGAAAGAGAAGGATTTCTCACATTAAATGAAAGCAAACAGTCCTTTAGTTCCCATCATTCATCCCCTTCGGAGACAGACCCCAGTTTTGTGATTCTAGTTTGGAAAGAAGGAAAGTGAAAAACAGTGTCATGGGTTAAAGGCTGCAGGGCCAAGACTTGTAGAAACAAAGGCAAGTCTGCCTGCTGTGTCTCCAGGGTAAGTGTTGTCTGTTTTCTCTCGCATAGATCACAGCACAGAATCTCACTGACTATGATTCACTTTCTTCTCATTCATGAATCAGCTCTGACTAAAAGTTACCTCAGAAGCCAAGCAGGTGTCATCAAATGACACTTTGGTGGTCGACACGTAAGTCTCAGTGACGGTGATGTCATCCAGCTCTGTGCTGAACCGGTCTGACTCCTTGATGACGCTGTAATTTAGAGCCACGCTGTAGCTGGCTGGTTTCTCTGTGGGCTTCTGCTTGCAATTGCAGAGCTTTCTGAAGGCTGCGCGGAATTTCTGAGACATGAGGTTGTAAATCACTGGGTTGATGGCACTGTTGAGGTAAATGCAAATTCTGCAAAAGAGTAGGAACCAATTTTCCTGGAAAGGGCTAGAGAGAAATGAGTTGACAACCACAAGAGTCCTGTAGGGCATCCATAAAAGGGCAAACAGAATTACAACCACTGCCAGCATCTTGGTGACCTGTGGAGAAACAGAGAGAGATGCAGTACAGACACCAATAGAAACAAATCAAGCTAATCCTGCCGCCTTCTTTCCATCCACAGCTATATTGTTCAAGATGTAGTCTAAGACTGCCTTTCAGTCAGGTTGGTTTTTTGTGAAGTTTAACCCAGAAAGTAGGGTTGAGCGAGCAGAGAAGAATGTGACCCAGGAGGAAAGAACAAAATAGGAGTTTAATTGAGATAGCTCTCGCTTGGGCAACTGAACTCAAATTCTGTATTCCAGAATCATCTGTCACAAAGGACATTTATTCACCAGCTGCCTGCTACTATTTGTTGAAGGATGTCCCTAAGGATCAGAAAACCTAAGTATTTCCAAGACTTGCTATCTTAAGAACTCCTAGAGACTTTAAGACAAGTCTCTCTGATTGAAAAGAAGTCCTGACCTACAGGGACCACTGAGTATCTGGAATGGGATGCTGTCAGGAGTCACTTACTTCAACAGTAGGTGGGATTAGTCCAGCTAAGTCTTTCCTTGCTGCTTCCAAATGTGTCTGTGACAAATATTATGAGACATATTTTTTATACCATCTCCTCAGCTGTAGGGGATTATTCTAGACTTCCTCATGGGCCATCTGTAAGATGGGATCACAGTACCTTCCATCATCACATGAGATAAAATGATTGTGCTTTAAGATGCAGAAAAACGCGGGAGCTGTGTCATGCCTCCTCGGGATCAGCTAACACACGAGCATCACATATTCCTTATCACAGCTGAAAATATTAAGACTACTTAGAGTGAGCACTGTGTCTGCCAGTTTTCAGACCAGGGAATAGGGTCCTGGGGCTGATCACTGTGTTGGAAGAAGTTGCTGAGCCTTAGTTCAGGATTCAAATGTGCACCAGTCTGAAGGCAAGGCTTCTGCTCTTGTCATGGACTGACTGTCTTTAGCTTCAAAGGAGGGGAGTGCAGAGGGAAATTCCATAATTTTACCCAGAGCTGAGTGACTTTGAAAAACAAGCATAATACCAGAGGTAGGAGGAAAATGGGTAAGGTGAGGCTAATATCTATAATCATCCAGGAGTGAGGTGAGCAAGGGTCTCTTATAGCAGTTTTTTCTTAAGTTGTGCTCGGTGAAATCTGGCATTGCTCGCGTTGTACTTACATTCAGATCACCTGGCTTTGATTCTACAAGAAGTTTTAAGACCTTAATCAAGTTATTGTTCCATTTGGACATCTGAAGATCTGCCTGCTGTGTTTTCTTCACTTCACAGAGTTACTGAGGAATTAAAATAATTAGTTGGGTGGAACTTAGAACCCTAAAGCACCGTGTATTTCTAACCTCCCATTAAGGGCATTATAGAGAGATCATAGTTTCCCAACAACATGATGAATGTACGTAATTAATGCAGAGATCATCTTTGCATGCAGATAATAACTAATTGATTTTCTTTAGATGCAATATTTTACACATTTAACAAGCTTTAGGTCTCTTGTTGCTTTGAGAGAAACCAACTTCCTTAGTTCACACTTTGTAGATGTTCTAATGAACAATACCAGAAGAAGTATATTCTTTCTCTTTCAGTATTGAGGTGAAGTGATTTGAGAAGACAATGGGGATAAAGCGGGTGGAGTGCTCCCCTGTAGCGGTCATGTCCTGCCTCCTTTCTCCTTCCCAAAGCCTAGGCCACTACTAGCCTAAGCGGTGCTCCTATAGAGATACCGACTTCAAATATTTTATATGAATGAAACATGCAGTCAATTATGCAGAGCTTGAGATATTCAGTGACCCATACTGCAGCATTGTATTGCTTATTTCTTTTCATTGCTGAGTACTATTTCATAGTGCATAGATATTACATTAATTTTATTCATACTTTAAATATTTAGTTGCAATCCACTAATACAGATGTGAAACTTTGGAGTCTAAGCTTTATGTGATTGCTTGTGGCTCTTTCTCTTACCTTTTACTTCTGCTCAATCTGTAGCAGTAAAACTACTGGTTGGTACCTTTTTAAACTGGTGTCTTATACAATAATATGAAATACTCCTTTAACATTGAAAGATAATTCTCATTATGATACAAAGCAAAAACACTAATTGACTTTACAGATATATTAGAACGCAAGAAAGACACAGAGTGAGATGAAACCAAAATTGTTGGGATGCATATTTTTATGTTGTTCTTAAAAATAGAAGAGTAGGGCCTGGAAGGATGCTCAGTGGTTAAGAATGTTTGCTGCTCTTCCAGGATCAGGGTCCCAATACACTCATCAGGTGGCTCACAGTCTATTGTAGCACCAGCTCTAAGAAATCACAGTCCATATTCCTTTTCTGTTTATCCAGACACTGTACACACCACACACGCACACACACACACACACACACACACACACACACACACACACACTTTATCAGACAAGTCTGTTTGGAGTGTATTCAAAAGAGAAAGAAAAGTGGGTATAGTCATGGGAATATTTATACATGTTTTTCTGTCAAGAAGAGTAGAGAAATCATGGGTTTACTGGAGATGGGAGAGAAAAATCAGATTTCCTTCCTTCCTTCCTTTCTTCCTTCCTTCCTTCCTTCTTTCTCTTTTCCTTTTTTTTCTTCCTTTCTTCCTTCCTTCCTTCCTTCCTTCCTTCCTTCCTTCCTTCCTTCCTTCCTTTCTTTTCTTTCTTTCTTTCTTTCTTTCTTTCTTTCTTTCTTTCTTTCCTTCTTTCTTTCTAAGATGGACTATAGCACAGCATTTTTGTTTCCTTCGGAACCAGTTCCGTAAGAAACATTTATGATACAGGGGAGAACGAGGAATAAGATGCTTGAAGGTAGAGTGTTCAGGATAGAGACCGTATCCAGTCCATCATTAGTGGGGATAGGATCTCTTTTGCTCTTTCAGCCACATTTAAGAGATCAACACAATTCATAAAAAAAAACCAGATAAATTATTTTTAATCATTCTCTAGAATCCAATAGAGTTCTAGTCATAGCTAATTGCTGAGGTCTTTGGAATTAGCTGACTTCTTTCCCATCACTGGAGCGTCTGTGGGAGATGTGTTGGTGTTTCCATTTTGTTGATGAGGAAGTGGGAGATGTGCTCAAAGAAGCTGAGAAAAGGAGCCTGCTACGGGTGACAGAGCAGCTGTGGAAGCTACGCCCTTGACTCTAGTTCTTCTTGTCTTTCCTTTCCTAGTCACTCACTAAGACATGTACTTCTATAGGTTTTGTTTGTGGACAACGTGGAAGGGTTGATATTGCTACCACACATCACTGGCAACCCTGAAATCTCCATGCTGCCCCCCCCCCATGTCTTTTGGCCCCAAATTGAAGTCCTGCATTTAGAGTCCTGATTGGGAAAAAGACAGTTGTCACAAGGCAGTCAGGAGTCCTTCACACCAATCTGCTTCCCAAGGAAACAAACAAACAAGGAAATTGAAATGCAGAAAATAACCATGAAAAGTAGTGGAAACTCGCGTTTCTTAGGACACAGTGCAATTAATTGCAAATCATTTATTAGGCTCTGGTTTTGAGAGGACCTGGTGGCATTTTAATTAATTGTCAGAGACCAACTTATTAGTCTTCCTAGGAAGGCATGGGATTTTGATTCGTACCTCTGTTCCCTAGGATATTTAGTTGAAATTCTTGTACTGATTGAGAAAAATACCTAAACCTTGATTCTGTGAATGATTCAGAGGGGGAAATATTCCGTGTGTGGTCTTGGGACTCGCTACTGTCAGGAGACAAAGAAGACATTACTGCCTTGTGCGTCAGTGAATGACTGCAATAGAAGAAGGAGGCGGAACTGACAGACAGTGTCAAGGCTTTCTAGTTTGTGTCTCCTTTCCAGGAACGTGGGGCAGAGACCATGACCCACATTTGAACTTCCATTGTACTCTCTGTATTCTGCTGTACTCTCCAGTGTGGAGGAGCTTTGCTGAGGCTAAGGTGACGTCCAAACCTGTCCTTAAAGAGTTTCTATTGATAGCTCTTTACCTCTCTGTTTAATGAGTGGTTTTCCAGGCATCATAGCAGGAAATCTTAATTTGTGAACAAGTTCTTTACCAATTTTGGATTCCCTATCGTATAAGTCCAGTGCTCTGCTTTCAGCTTCAAAAAAAGAAGAAGAAAAAAAACCAAACAAAACAAAAAACAAAACAAAACAAAACAAAAACAAAGAAAAAACAAGATGACACTTAGGAAACACATCTTGGGGACAAAAAGTCAGGAGGAGCCCTCAGTACAGAAGCCTAACCCGTAACAAGAGCTCAGTGAATGATTGTATTGCCGGGTAAATGTTTATTCTTACCAAATATGCATGAGATAAGAGTCCTTTAAATTAGCAAAGTGCTGTGGCTCTCACACTTTTTTATGACTGGGAGACTCACTTTCAGAACACTTCATTCTGAAAGCAATGGTCGGTTAATGAATACAAACCAGTTAGCCTTTAATATTCTAATGCCATCCTTTAAAGGGCAGCAATACATTCTGTGTCTGGACTCTATCCATGTTCTCTTGCTTTCTGCATATTAACAAAGTGTTCCAAAACTGGATATATTTTGTTCTTAGCTCTCAGCAAAATGATCAATGACCTTTTGCATTTTGTTATATTAATTGAGGCAGTTGAAAGATAAACTGACTTGATAATTAAATAGATCTGAGTGTAGCCAAGCCTCCGTGCTGATTGGGTCCCCACCCCCTTTTATTTTTGCTAGCAGAGTGTTCCGCTTTCTTTTGATGTATGTCTGGACATTCAGTTTTGAAAACAATAATCAGTGTGAGGCACTGCGTACCACTGTGTGAGGTCACCACTGGTGTTTAAAAGTTGAATGATGAGACTGGAAAGGGTCTTGGAATCAGCTCAAGATCCACTGAAGCACAATAAAAATGAGTAAAGGCTGAGTAATGATTCACTGTGGAGGGACCGTGACTGTCAGACACTGCACTCCACATTGCTTATGGGTCTCTTGACAGGAAGCCATGCAGAAATGCAGTTCCATGGGCTTCTTGATTACTCCTGCCACCCA